ATGAAAAATGCAACTGTATAGGTTATTGTTGTCTGGTTGCTGTTGTTTTGTTTGTGTCATGTTGCTAGGTCATGTAGAACTATTGGAACAGAATTCCTCTCCCAGAGACAATCATGCTCTCTTCTGTATTGTTTTGCCACATTATTGCGTGAATAAAAGATGTCTGCAGGTTTGATTCCCATTGCGGAACCATGGTCTAGTTCAGAACAGATATTATCGAAAAAAATCCCATAAATCTGTCATAGACAAGTTGGTATGTTGTATATTCTCTAATAGATGTCATGTTCATATATAGATGTCATATTTTGTTGAATTGATGTCATGACACATAGTATCTTTCAATGTCATTTAACCCATTACTTCATGAGCATTTTGTGAAAAATGGCTGTTTTCATTGAAAAGTCTCCCATTACAAGTTCAAATTGCTATAAAAACTGTTTCAATACTAATCAAACTTGGCACAAATGTTGACTGGACCATTGCCTTTATAACAACATGCTCAAGTCTTAAATTTCCTCAGTCTTAAAGTTACCATGGCAACGAGGGGACATCTCCTAATTGCCAAAAATCACTATTTTGCCTTGATTTTTTCCATCAAAGTGCTGCAACTTCTCAATTGATTGAGATAGAGTCAAAGGCTTTTCAGTGTTGGTTACACCTTACCTTATGATCGACCTGGGGTCATTTTTAGCCTCTCACAAGTCCAAACTTTTCTTGGCCATAAGGGGGATTACCGCCCCCCCCTTCAAACCCCCCCAAACAGAAGGGGGCACATGCCCCTTCTAGCAACCCCCCCTGATGTATTTTTGGATGGGGGCAGCGCCAAAAAAGTTGTCACTTTTTTAAGCAACATTTCTCAAACAAAATCAAGTGTTGGGGGCCTAAATAAGGCATTTTTCACCATTTCAGACAACAAATGGGGGGGGGGGTGAAAAAGGCGTTAAAAGGCATGTATATCGGGTAAAGGGTTAAAGTGCCTGAACACAGGTTTAAGGGACTTTATAATGGCAAACAAATCATAACAATAGTTAAAGAAACCGGGCAACTTATTCAAAACAAAATGGCCTCAAATCCAAGTTGGTAAGAACATTTGTTTACATGCATATACAGATTTTTGTCCTGTAATGGCTGACAACAGTGCCAAGGAAACTTTAATAAGGAAGAAAGAACAGCTGAAAAACTTTTGAAGGCAGATTAATAAAATATTTATAGCCTCTAAAAGCAATTTATTTTCAACCTGAATTAATTTATGGTTTTGATAAGAAACCTGATACTATTATTGTCTATATAAAAAGGGAAAAATAATCCTTTAAATGACAATATTTGCTCTATCAATCATGTGTATCATAAAGCTTTAAAGAGCTTATGTTTGTGTTTTGTGTGTTGTGCTATATTTGGTTTGTTTGATTGGGTTTTTTTCTAGTGCCTAGAAGTGCCACTTTGATAGGTATAGAATTTTGTTTGAAGTTAGCTGGCAGAAAGAGAAGGAAGTAGAAATGATAGGCACTTTAAATCACAGCCATCAGATCAATAGCAATTCTCTGATACTGACCAATTTTCACCGACCTATCTTTCTCTCATTTCAATATAGGAGAGTTTTGTCTGCAGAATGAAAAACTTGTTGTTTACAAAATATATACATATATCAAGGGTGTTTATTTCTGGATTCTACTCTCAGTAGGTGAGGATATATAATTAATGTAATGTGTTAAATGATAATGGATGTGTAATGATTGATACTGAACTTCGGTATGTTTTTTGCTTTTCTTAAAATTCAGACAAATGCCATTACTTTTCTGATATTTGTGTTTGTGTTTTTTATTTCTTAAACAGGAAGGCAATTTGTGCCCTATCTCTTTTTTGTTGGTGTTCATGTTTTAGTATTAAGGTGTAGTCATTATGCTGGTAGTTTAAATGCTCAGTAATTGATCCCTCATGGTGTAATTTGGTACTATTTTCACAAAGTGAGTATATTTCGGTAAAACAGTTAATTGTAAGTGCCGATTTTAATCATCTAGTTGATTTATATTTAATTATTCAGCCCCCTTGGTGTTAATTCATTTATTTATGCTTTAACTGAACCACTGGTGTAGCTGTGGTGTTAAATCAGATAAAAAAATATTGTTAGGACTTTAAAATATTCATCAGTGTGAAGGTACTTTTAGTGCACCATAAATATAATATTGTGTTTACTCCGTATTTAAATTGATTTAAATTTAGATTTAGTAGATCATTAATACAACGTAGTGTTTTGCATTCAAAATAAATGTTGCACATCATGAAATGCACCGCAAAAAACGTCTTTGTTAATTATCCGCCATGACGTTTATATCGTTTTAAATGTCGGTGAATATATGCGGAGACCATTGAAGTTGGTAATACTGGTTTAACAAATACGGCCTTACAGCTTATCTCTGAAGGTATTTGAGCAGAACAAAAATTTGATTATTCCGAATTTGAAGTGTTTGATATTGGCCTTCACTGGGGTTTTAGAATGTAAATAGTTTTGAAAAGATAGTTAAATGTTCGGCAATGAGTGTAATGAAAGGCTTGGTTTATCTATTGATATTCAGACAAATCTAGTTTATAGAAGTGACATAAATGACGCAAGGGCTTTTATAGGTGAATGATACTGCTCTGGCGGAAACTAGACACTTAAAACAGTTTTTGTTAGTCACGGATGTACTTACAGTGGGGGTTATTGTGGTTTATAACTGACTCAATAGCAAGGTAGGAGGTTTTTGAGGATTTGTGAGATTATGTTCTTACTGTCAACTTTTCTATGTGTTATGTGAGGTTAATTTTGATGAGGGGAGTGGAAATGTTTTGAGTTTAGGAATTTTGTTTCTGATTTGGTTGTAAACGTTTGTGTGTTACAATCTTGTGTGAACAATTTGACGCTTAAAATCTGATTGATATTCTTTATTTTATGAGATTTTTTATTTTTTGTTTTCTTTTGTAAAAATGAAGTTTGGTTAATTTACGGAAAATCTCAGATATGGATTATCAGTGTAATATGGCTGTGTATATGGATTATATTCAGTCACAAGGGGTAGTGAGTCCCTTTCAGCCAGGATTAAATGGAATGTATCCCTGTCATGACATGAGAGTGCCTGTATACCAGCCAGGTTACGAGGCAAGAAATGGTTTCACAGGGGACATACATAGCCTGTATGAGTGTGAGCCACAACAGCTGCTTAACTACCCTACATCTGACCATTCTGTAGGACAAAACTTGTTTCCTCGGAGGGTGGACCAGCACTTTATGTACTCAGAGTTACCCTATGCTTCTGGTGTACCCCACTATTTCAACAGCCAATACAACTCGAACATCAGTAAGCTGACCAGTTTACCAACAACAGAAAGGATTCATACTCCGATAAATTCTTACAATCAAAACAGATTCTCCCATGTTTTAGCTGGTCATAATATGTCAGAAATAAAACAAGAAGTTCAATCGGAAAATGAGTTTGGTAATTGCTGGTATTTCTATGTTGTTCTCCTCATTTCTTCATTTGTTTTTCCATCATTATGCCTTGTTTGTTTTTGTGAGAATTTTTTTTTTTGTTGAGATTTTGCATTTGATCATTATGTATGATTATGTAGAAAATCTGCAGTCTAATTGAGCCCTATACAAGGTGGTTAAGTATGTTTTTTATACAGGCTAAAACAAATGTCAGATTGTCATGATATTTGCTGTAACTCTATAGGTGTTTTGATCTTTTTCTTTTAATGGGGCTTTTTTGTGTATGTGCGTGTATAAAGGGCTTAACAAATTATTCTGACGTTATCAAGTTTAAGATGAGGTAAAAAGATTGTTTATATAATCTTAAATTGCAGGAAGGCGTGGTTACAATATTGCTCTGTTTTGTTATTAAGAGTACAAAACTTTGTCCCAAAATGTTTTGTTTTTTCCAGCTGTATTTATTATAATTTCATGGCAAATTTGATGTTTTTTTCCAAGTTAATTCCCAGGTACAAACAAATTTTTACCATTATAGCTTAATCACATTAGATTAGCCAACTTGTTTGATTTATTTTTGAAGTTGTAACTGTATAAATTTGTTATTCCCCTCTCCCTCTCAGGGGTGTCTGTGGCGGAGTGGTAAAGTGTGTTACAGAATGTCAGTGGTTCTACTCAGGTGCCCGTTCATGCCTGAAATAATGCACAGAAGGGCACCTGAGATCTTCCGACACCAATTAAGCTGGAACGTCCCCATATGACCTAAACTGTGTTGATGTAACATAAATCACAAACAAACAAACCCTCCCCCCTCTCACCCACAGAGTAGCAAATATTCTTACCTTGTCTATTTATCTGACAGCCAAATGTCAAGATGCATGTACCTGGGTTATATATGGATGCTGTGCTGGCTTGATGAAATGCCAGTGTTATATATGTATTATTTGGCTTGGGATAACTTAGTATTATCCTTTTACAGGAAGAGCCATCCTAATCACATCTCACCTCACACTGCAGAGTATATAGCTTTGAAATCTGCGAAAACATGTTTTTTGTACACTTTTAGTACTGGGAAAAAATAAATCAAACCCCTGAGATGTTTATGGACACTAATTTAACCTTTATAAATCCGGGAGAGTAGTGAGTTATTGTGAATTATCTCAAACTTATGATGAATGTACCACTGGTATTTCCTTAAAGAACTTAAGTGTAGACGTTGAATAAGTTTTGCCTATAGACAGATGCTTGCTAAACATGACATATTAATATCCCTGTTTTTTTTTGTACATAACAAAAAAGAATATTGTCTGCAAGCAGAGTGAATGGAATTATTTCCCTGTCTTATTTATCTCCAGTGTTTCTTGGCAAGAAGTTGTCTAGATGTCTGATGTTTATGGCATATTTTAATACCCTATACTGATTAAAATGCAGAAGCTATTTCGAAGGAAAAATAAATTGCATACTGATTTATTGCAGATATTACCATGGTCTCGTAATGTTGTATTTGTGTTCTCAAAATTGTTTTGTGTATTTTCAGTTGTGAACTCAATACTGCGGGGCGTAGAAATTGGTGGAATTGCTCCCAGACGGCGCCCGCGGGCTGTTAAACAGGAAAAGGAACAACCAAACTCATCTGTGAGTAGTAATAATCGTAAAATGAAAAAATAGTCCTGGATTATGATATCCCAAGTTACCCTCTGATTGTATTAGGGTATATTTACTTTATAAAGTGATTTTATCAGACCAGTGTTATAGCTGTGGATGTCTGATAGCATTGCTCTTCAAATGCAATAGGGCAAGGTACATTACAGATAAAACTAATATCCTACATATTGTTTTTAAGAATAAACAATCTCTACATAAAGACGGAGATAAAACCGTAAAATTCTTCAAATTCAAAAATGTTCCATTCTTATTATCATATCACCTGATGGCTTGTTTCAATGTTTGTGTAAGAATTACTGTTATTTAGAAAAGGGCATTTAGAAATGTATTGATTTAGGTTTATTCTTAGCCGGCTCACAAGGAAAAAAGGTCAAAGAATGTAATGAAAGCTTACTTTGTTTGTCAAGATAGGGTTTGAATAATGAGTGTTTGATAGATAGCCAGATAAAGGTGAGATACCATATCTGAGCAAAGAAGTTCTCATTTGATGATTGGATATCAGATTGGGATAAATCTTTCACAGTGACCTTCACCTGTGATATTAGTATTTGCTGTTAGTGATAATGAAGATAATGAGGATTGTTATTATTTAGGTAAAGATTGAAAATGTGTTTTAACTTAAAACATGGCCTCTGGGTCTTATTAGTCAATCCACTTGACTGACTGGAGAGATTATCTACAGACTTAAGTATTTGGCATGATATAATTTTGAATAGAAGTAAAAATGGCTATACCATCATTTTCAATCCATATTTTAATTCAGTTCATTTATGTAAATGAAATTGCAGTGAGAATTGTAACACAATCATCAAGAAATTGTCTTAAGTTAACTTAAAGCCTGTGCACATGCCAGAAAATCGCAATAATTACCAACAATAAATATCCAGCACTACTCCACTACCTCCCCCACCCCTAGATATAAGACTGATGTTAAGAAACTAGGGAAAATAAAATAAATGAACTTTTTGAACAGAAAAGGAAGGGTCTGTCTGACTGTAATGAGGCCTTTAAAAAATGTTTTCCATTAGTATGAGGATCTTGTACGGGGATGTGACCTCTTAGACATTAAGGCATTGTTAACTAGGATGTAATTAGAGATCTGATGCTATCAAATACAGCCTTGAATTGATTTTTTCACTGTAGATACTTAATGTAACATCTTGCTAGTAAGCTATCATCCAGCATTACAGCAAAACATTCACATACAATGTACTGTAATATGATATATTGGTTAATTTAACATTTACCTTCGTCATTTTGATGGACTTGATCTGGTATTTAATTTGAGACTGTTCTTTCATTGCCAAGGGGCATTTGTGGCTGAATGGTTAAGTTGGTTGACTTCAAAGCACTTGCCTCTTACTGTTGTAGCTTTGTTGGATTCTACATGTGAAAAAGCTATCCAGCTGGCTTATAGAACATTTGTGGTTCTACTCGAGTGGACTGGAGTGCCCCGTTTGTGCCTGAAATTATGTGCAGAGGGGCTGAGGTTGTCCACCACGTAACCACCAGTAAAGCTGGAAAGTCCCCATACGACCTTTATTGCTTTGATGCAACATAAAACCCAACCAACCTGTAGCCGGATAGATTCCAATGTATATTGTACTAATATGGTCAGATGAAGCTGTAATAAATAAGCTGTTTCTCCAAGTTGCCACCACCATAAAGTTGATAATATCTTACTATGAACAGCATTGAATTATAGATTATAGTTATAAATACTTTTCATGTTCTTAGTTGACTTTTAATTTCTATCTTTGTGTAGAATATTGTTCACAAGGTCCACATGGTCAGGTTTTTGAACTAGATATAATACAGCCATGATGGTCCCAGATTTTGTAATGTTAGTTTTACATTGATTAGGTAAACTATGAAGTTGATAACAGTACTTTAACATTTTAACTTGTATATATATCACTGTTTGTTTTAGTGTAGCAACATTGTCAAATGTACATATGGTATCATAACAGTATTAGATAGCTTTGTACAAGATCAGATTGAGGTCAGTCATTTGTTAACCTTTGGAATATTTGCACATCTATGCAATTTTACAAGGTTCTTAATGCTGTTGATTGCTTAACCCTTATCATGCTACATCATATCTTATCTGAACTTGTCCAACTTTTATTCTGGACAAATATTTCTACATTAATTAGTGCATGTGTACTTACTAAATAGGGAAGAGTGCAGATCATGAATCTTGGTCTTCACTTATTGCATGAGTAGTACACAGACTCGGTGTTAATAAACTCGTAAGTTTAAAGCAGGGCTCATTATACACTGTTAAATGAAACGGTCAATCTTAAAATGATGTCAAAGTTGAAGAATTGCCCTCATGAAACCCAAACTAAAACTGGAAAGTGTTAGCACAAGCGAGTCCAGTGTTACTGTTTTGCAACTAAGTGGCGTATTGTGTCAGCATGTCCGTGGATGGAGAACATGGGCTTTGAACTTTACATCACATCGGGTTTTATTAAATGATATAGCTGCATATATCAAGCTGTCTTAATTTTAACTGATAAAAAAGATATAGTATTGATGGCTGTGTTACAGATTACAGGTTGTTGACCTTGACCTTGACAAAAAGAAGACCAGAGAACACCAAGGTACTCACTGTTTTAATGTATTAAATTTAAGATGACATTAATTGTGTTATCTTTTTGATAAATGTTTGATTTAGCCAAGCACTGGCAACCAAGATAGTTTAACAACTTTAAAGAGATTCAAATGGAGATAAGAGGGGGATTGGGTGCAAAATTTAGAGCTCTTTGTCAATAGAAGACTATAAACACTGCCATTAAATTCCATATATTGATTGAACTTGTTAATCTTTTGTTTATATTCTTCATTTATGTTGGAAGTTATGGTTTAGATTTGTATAAATAGTCCAGTTTTGCGAAATTAAAAAAAGAACAAAAATGGTCTTTGATGACAAAAGGTAATTCAGGATTACTGTTATTTAATCAGATTATTAAATTCTGACATTTTAAACAGAGAGTTTCTTTATTCATCTGAAGGAATGGTTGGAAACTTCACACACTTACTTGAGAGAGTATCAGAAGGTCACTGTCCAAGGCTGTATCTCTAACATGGATTTTGACAGAGTTATAGCCCTTTTTGAAAATTTTACTTTATCCAGTCTCTTGTGTTACTATCAAGCGCTGAGAGCAGTTGACGATGCTTGTTGTTTCTTGTTGTGACACAAAAAAAGAAAAGAAAAAAGAAATCAAGTTTTAAGAATTTGCTTCAAAAGTGCTGTAGGAAAGGTCTTTTAAAGAAATTCTTTTTAATACAAAATGTAGGTAATTAATAGAATATGTACATTTAAGGTTATTGACATTATTTTTAACCTGCCAGGCTAAATGTTCAATGACCTAGCTTAAATCAGGGTTATATAAGAATATTTTATTGGCAATCTTAATAATTATATGGTTTTGCATGGGCCGGTTGACCTTCCACTTTATTGGTTCAAACAAATGATATGTCAGTTAAGAAGTACTTTGTTACATTCTCTTCTAGATGGTCAATGCTGCAGCTTAGTACAGATCACGTAGGGTGTGCGGAATTCCTAGTTTGCATATTATTGTATACAATCCCTGTTGTGTTGTCATATATGATGAATCAGCTGGAGACTACTAGTATTTTCCTTTGTCTTTGAATAGTAAATTGAAGCAACACGGACTAACTTAATATCCATTGGTATACATGTAAGACTACAAAAAACCTGACATTAGTTCAAAATGTGATGGTGTGGCCGATTGGTTTACCACTTGGACTACTGTTATTTAGGTGTTGCTGGCAGCGTGGGTTGAAATCCCTGTGATGCAAGTCATTGTTTTTTCTTGAGCAAGGGACTTTACACTCATATTTCAGTACTGGTTTGTACAAAGAGTGACTTTGACAGTATGTCGACCTGTAAGCTTATTACTTCCAACTCAATTGAACTGATATAAATTCTGTATATAATGAAAATGTAAGGAGTCTAGAGCTAGACACTTACTCATTTAGTGACTGACTTAATTTTCATGAATTGTAATATGTAAAAAAAAAAAAAATGTGATTTGATTAGATGGCCTAGAATGATTTAATTAGTAATGCAATGTCATCAGTTTTTAGAGTCCCACATTATTGCAGCAGCTGTTTCATACATGATTTATTGTGTAGTTATTTAGAATGGACAGTTAAATATGGAGTACATCCATCACAAATCAGTTGGTGAAGTGTCAGCATGATAATTACTTGATAATGTCATAATGGTCCTAGTGCTATAGCCACTAGTATAGAGCCAATCATGTCCATACATCCTTATTAAAACTACTCTGTAAGTACTGTAAGTTATTTAGAGAATGACTACTACCAGCATCTTGTCATTGTCTGAATGGATAAGGATACTTAATGAGACTAAAATTGGCGGAATGTACATGAATCTGATTCATTGATAAATGATAACAATTTGGTTCATCAAGTCTATAATAAAATACTGTAATACCTATACATTACACAACAAGTAAGTAAGTAAGTAAGTAATAAGGACTTTATTTAAAGAGGCTAACACCATGGGTTTCCCGATTTTTCATGTGGGCCTATATAGCATATACATGTACATAACATTAAACAAATATACATACAATAAACACATTAAACAACATATATACATAGAACATGGTATAATTCACCTGTTTGCTAATAATTTGACCCACCGTCCCAGTCTTATTTTGGGAGACATATTACAAAAGACTAAATTCGTTCAAAAAGTATTAACTTCCGTGCAAAGGTCATTGTTGCCAAATTTCTATGATGAATAGCGACGATTCAATTTCTTCACAAGAAACTGTTCATACATTCTATGGTCCTCTTTCTGCTTATAACTTTCTAACATTATTAAAGGAAAGGTTTTGTAAGTGCCCCAAGGTCATATCCTCCTCGATTTCTTGTTGCGTGATTCAAAATAATTTTGTTTGTGACGAACT